TGATATGGAGTCTCACTTTGTCACCCAGGCTGGAGTGCAGTGGCGAAATCTTGGCTCACTGTAACCTCTGCCACTTGAGTTAAAGCGATTCTCCTGCCTCAGTCTCCCGAGTAGCTGGGATTACAGGCACCACCCACTGTGCCCGGCTATTTTTGTAGTTTTAGTAAAGATAGGGTTTCACCATCTTGGCCAGGCTGGTCTTGAACTCCTGACTTCCTGATCCACCTGCCTTGACCTCCCAAAGTGCTGGGATTATAGTCATGAGCTACCACGTCTGGCCTCTCCGGCATCTTTCACAGACCACTGATCCCAGCCATGAGGGCAGTGCCCGGGTCACCTGTTCACCCCCCATAGGCCCCACCTCTTAATACCACAACATTGGGGATTAAGTTTCAACACATGAATTTTGGTGGGACATCAACATTCAGCCCATAGCAAGGAGCATGGCCCTGGTGCCACCTTGATTTTAGACATCTGCTCGAGAACTGTGAGATGATACATTTCTGTTTTAAGTGGCCCAGTTTATAGTACTTTGTTATGGCGGCCAAGCAAATTCATACACCTAGTACGTGTCCAGTGGGGTGCTGAAGACCACATATGACAGGAATGGTATGTATGGAGGGGTAAGGTTGGGGCTGGGGAGACCTCCTCAAGCCCTTCGGGGCTAAGGACTCAGAGGTCCTTAGGAAGGGTGTTCTGGGCCCAGCATGTGGGGTTGCGACCTCTCCTGACCCGGGTGCTAATATTAAGAGGCTACAGGGTCTGGGCACCGTGGTTCATGCCTGTAATCCCAGCACTGTGGGAGGACAAGGAGGGTAGATCACTTGAGGCCAGGAGTTCGAGACCAGCCTGGCCAACATAACAAAACCCTATCTCTACTAAAAATATAAAAATTACCCAGGCATGATGGTGCACACCTGTAATCTTAGCTACCCTGGTGACTAAGGCACGAGAATCACTTGACTAAGGCCATGCGTGGTGGCTCACGCCTGTAATTGCAGCACATTGGGAGGCTGAGGCAGGCGGATCACAAGGTCAGGAGTTCGAGACCAGCCTGACCAATATGGTGAAACCCCATCTCTACTAAAAAAATACAAAAATTAGCAGGGCGTGGTGGTGGGCGCCTCTCCTGCCTCTGCCTCCCGACTAGTCCCAGCTACTCGGGAGGCAGAGGCAGGAGAATCGCTGGAACCCTGGAGGCAGAGGTTGCAGTGAGCTGAGATCGCAGCACTGCACTCCAGCCTGGGCAACAGAGGGAGACTTCTTCTCAAAAACAAGCAAACAAACAAAAACCAAAAGATGCTACAGGGACTCTGGGTGTGGCCCACGTGGCTGATCATCCAGCCCTGGTCTAGATGGGTGGCGTAGGCCTGAAAGCGCCATGGAAGTTTTAGGAGCTGGGGCACTCAGCTTCGGGAGAAAGTGAAGGCATAGAAACGCTGGCCTCGTGGGGGCCCGTCTGAGTTCTGACTCTGGCCGTCCCTGTGAACACCACCTAGCACGCTAGGGCATCACTGGGCCCATCAGGAAGAGAGTGCTTTGTCAGGGTGGGGGTAGAACTGGATTTCCCACTACCTTGGGCACTTGAGGCTCATATTTGGGACTTTGGAGAAGCCGCTCATTTTCCCATTCTATAATGTAAACAAGAATAATCTAGATCCCTATACATTACCTCCTTTCATGTTCAGAAAGCCCTATAGGATAAGCACTACTCTTGTTGCCATTTCCCAGATGAGGAAACTGAGGCATGGAGACGTGAAAGAACTGTCCCTAGGTCATTGTAAGCAACATAAAGCATCTCTGTGTGCTGGGCCAGCGCCATTTCCACACCATCGCGGAGACCCCACTGCATGCCTAGCACACTCTGCAGGAGCTCCCACCTGCCTTTAGCAGCATAAGGCACTGTGTGCTCCATTTCTGGGGTTCAGAATGTGCGATCATTTTATGCCTGCAGTCACATCAGAATGAGGCCCAGGAGGCTGATGGGTTGCAGATTTCCATGCAATGGCGCGATCTCGGCTCACTGCAACCTCCACCTCTTGGGTCCAAGCTATTCTCCTACTTCAACCTCCCAAGCTGCTGGGACTACAGGCGTGCACCACAATGTCCAGCTCATTTTTCTATGTTTAGTTGAGGTGGGGTTTCATCATGTTGCCCAGGCTGATCTCACACTTCTGTCCTCAGGTGATCGGCTCGCCTCGGCCTCTTAAAGTGCTGGGATTACAGGTGTGAGCCATCGCGCTCCGCTGCGTGAACTTCTTGCATGTTTGCCTTCTCTGGAGGGTCTGGACTCTGAAGCCTCTTTCACACCCACCCTGCAGGCCAATTCCGTAATGTACCGCCAGAGGGAGCTGCCCGCAGAGAAACGGGAGCGCCTCACTCAGGCCCCCAGGAAGGCACCAAGGACTGCCCTGGCCTCAGTTCACTTTCCTTCTTGAAAGTCACCCAAACTCAAGCAAAAGCTCCGATTCAGGAATAAATGGGGTTGTCTTACCCCAGCCAAGGGCTGGGGAACCTTGGGATTAAGGGTTTTACCCTTGGTATTAAGAATGGAAAGGAGGCCGTCCTCTGGGTGCCCGTAGCACCCTGGAGAGCAGGCAGGGTGTCAGTCACAACCGGGGCTTTGAGTTACCGTCCCGGGCTGGAGTCTGGGCCCTGAAACTTTCTAACCAGCGTGGCCTTGGGCAGAGCAGCCTGTGTTTAGAGTTTCCCATCTGTAATATGGCAATGAAAACCATGCCTGCTTTGCAAGGTTGCTGTTAGGATTAATTCTCTAGAGAGCCCCCAGAAGCCACTGTTGGGTTTGAGATGGTTCAAGGCCAGACCTTGCATGACAAGAGTGGGGACAGCTTTCCACAGGCCTCAACACAGTAAGACTCCTGGGTGGTTCTGCAATCCCAGCCTCATGCCCTTTGCACCCTCCCAAGAGGCTGCCTAGCCTCAGCTTTGGCCCCCACCCAAGAATCCTAGGAGCAAGGCCAGTTCTCCTTTTTTTTTTTTTTTTTTTCTTTTTTTAAGAGACCGGGTCTCCGCTGGACGCGGTGGCTGACGTCTGTAATCCCAACACTTTGGGAGGCTGAGGCGGGCAGATCACCTGAGGTGGGAGTTCGAGACCAGCCTGACCAACATGGAGAAACCCTGTCTCTACTAAAAATACAAAATTAGTCTGGCATGGTGGCGGTCGCCTGTAATTCCAGCTACTTGGGAGGCTGAGGCAGGAGAATTCCTTGAACCCAGGAGGTGGGGGTTGCGCCAAGATCGCGCCATTGCACTCCAGCCTGGACAACAAGAGCGAAACTCCGTCTCAAAAAAAAAAAAAAAAAGAGAGAGATAGAGAGAGACAGGGTCTCATTCTGTCACCCAGGCTGGAGTGCAGGGGTGCGATCACGCTTCACTGCAGCCTCGAACTCCCGGGCTCAAGCAATCCTCCGGCTTCAGCCTCCCAAAACACTGAGGTTACAGGTATGAGTCACCCACCCGGCCTCATTTTTATTATTTGTAGAGATGGGATGTCACTGGGTTGCCCACGCTCGACAGGCTGGGCTCCTGCGATCCTCCCTCCTCAGCCTCACTGGCAGCTGGGATTACGGGACCTCCCCGCCTGCTTTTTTGCAACTCCCAGACCCAGAGCCTCCAGAGCAGGCTGAGGAACAGCGGAAATCTGGCTCCGGCCCACACATTCACCAAATACTGACGCAGCACCCTTGACCTCCAGATGCCCCTGTGCTCTCTTCCGCGCAAAGGCTGCAGGGACGGAGGGGTCCTCCAAGGCCACAGGGAGTGAGGTCTCCGCAAAGTGCCCGCGGGCCGGGAGGCAGGTGCGCGGGGCCCGGCTCTGACCCTGCGTGCGTGACGGAGCAGGGCAGGGCTGGGCCTGCGGGAGCGCGGCCTTGCGGTCCCCGGGCCTCCTCTCCGGGCGCCCCGGCTCGGCTGCGCCACCTGTAACCCAAGCCCGGGCCCCGGTGTCGGCGGCGGGGTGAGCCGGGGCCGGGGAGGGGGCGCCCGGCAGCGCCCACCGGGTCCCCGCAAGGCCGGGCGCAGCTCGGAGCCGGGAGCCGGCCCAGCGCGTGGCTTCCCGGAAGGCCCCGCGCACCGGAAGGCGGGAGGGAAGGCGGGGCCAGCGCCGGGACCGCCACCGAGGCCTGCGCGACCCTCCCGGGGCTGGGGCTGGGGCCGGGGAGCCGGGCAGGGAGCGGGGGGACAGCAGGGCTCGGGTGGCGGGCGCGTCTCCGTCTCCGCGCGCGCCGCAGGGCTTCGCTCCGGTAGGTAAAGGTGAGCCGAGCCGGGGCGGGGCGCCTCCCAGGCCGCGCCCCGCGAAGGGAGGGGGCACACCAAGAGCAGGCCTGGGGCCCGGGAGCGCCTTGAGGAGTCCTCGCCCTGTGGGGAGCCCCTCCCGCTGCCGGGTGGACACTGTTAGTGTAGTCATTGTCCTATGGGGAAACTGAGGCATGGAGAGGCCGAAGTCACACAAGTAAGCATCAGAGCCAGGACTAGAGTCCTGGGCCCTGG